GGTGAGTACATAGATATACTACACAAAGCTAGATGTGAAACTTACAAAGAGTGTAGGTCTTTTTTATTACTTAATAATAATAAAAACAGCTACCATTAGAGAACACAATAGTTTAACAACATTTGTCACTAAGAATATTTTCAACATAGGACATATTCTTAATGACAAACACTTCTGTGTAAAGTAAGCTGTTTTTCCCAGCCAACATCAGACTCAAACAGAAAACAAAAAAACATATACAGACTTCCATGGTAATGAATATTGTGCATACTGATTTTAGATTTTCTTATAGGTGATGATAATAATAAAGAAATACATTGTATGATTGTATTGTATGATACAAAATATCAAACTAAATCATGCTATCATGTGGCACATAAATCTCAGATGGGTTTTTTTTTTCCTCTCCATTTTTTTACCCACATCTTCTTTTGTCAATCTGTCCTTGTTGGTAAGTATAAATATAAGACAAGATAGAACTTGTAGGTGCCTAAAGGAAATCTGTCAGTCATGTAGTAACACTGACAGGCTCATAGGCAAATGGGTATAGCCGCACGGAGACAGACGGACATGAAAGAATGCAGCAGGTTGGCCAAATAAGCAGGCTATCAGGTAGAAAGACTGGCAGGCGGGTGGTCTGGTTGGCAGGCTGCCAAGTTGTGGTGTATGTGGACAGTGAGAAAGGCAGACCAGTGACATATTGGACACACTGATTCCCAAGCAGTCAGGGAGACTGGCATGAGGAGAGACAGCTAGATAGATAGACAGACAGATAGATAGGGAATTATTTGACTGTGCCTTCCACCATCCCTTGTGGTTCACAAAGGACATGAGGTATGTCACTGAAACCCCTGATGACAAGCAGAGAAACGGTAATGGAAAGTTTCAAAAGGTGAAGGCTGAAAAAGAAGGAAAGTTTTTGAGGGACACAAAACTTTTTTTTAAAACTTTTCTTCTTTTTTTTAACAATGCAATAACCCATTAGCTTTTAAAACTGTCAGTTTAAATGCCCAACCATTATCTTATTTTCATGAATATTTTGCATATTTACATGTTATTTAAGCAGTCCTGCTAATCAACCCTTTGATAGGAATGTTTGGTTATAAGTTGCTAAAGCACTGAAAAAATACTTGACATATGATTATTGCTGTCATGTATTGTTAAGCATTTATGAAATAAAGACACTCCTTTGCTGTTGTGGGAGCATCCTTTTGTCTATTCATTGGCAGCAGTTTACTACAATACTCTTTATTGTCTCTGATGATTGATGTTGTCGTTGAGGTCAGTTTATTATTCAGTGATAACCTTAAAATGTTACCCGAATTCATACTCATACTTTTGCTTTCTCGATCAGTGTCCCTAGAGTGATGACATTGCTTGACAGTGCACTCACCCACTGACCTTTATAAACATTAACAGACCTACCATACATTTCTAACTGAGAGAAAATATTTTTTTTAATAAATGGAATTATAATACACCAAATAGATTTAATAGCAGTACACCGGGTAAAGAAACAAAAACCTCAACCAAAGCATTTTTTCTGGTAAATTTAAATCTTGTTTTCATATCTTAACTGATAGTTATGATTTAGCACTACAATACTGTTGCTTCAACATCCATAAACGCTTTGTATGTCATGGTCCCCTGGTCTTCCTGTGCCAACTTTCTGTTTTCTAGTTGTTTCTCTTCCCTGTTCTTTCTCTCTATCTGTCTCCCACCTCTCTCAGTGTATGTGTACGCATGTGTGTCTGTTTCAGGGGCGAGTTTCCTCCAGGAGCACCTGCCCTCCTGATCTGTACAACTGGAGTTGTCATCAATTTTCTCACCTGCGCACAACTGTTCGTTTCCTGTCTGCTACTTAAGGCTGAGGAAATCCCTCAGTTGATGCCAGATGTTGTACTAACAGTGTTATCCCCCCAACACATGAACAAACACACACACACACAAAACCCTGACAAGGATAAGCAGAAGAGGATGGATGGATGAATGGATGGATGCTTCCAGTCTTTGGAGACTTTGAGAGATTATAGTGGAGATAAATATATGGACTTATCTGCCTGTTACCTCATTCCCCAAAACAGCTTTATGAACTTGTTTACTTCCAGTGCTCACATTAAACCTGTTGAGCATTTTTTTTCATGTTCGGGTCTTAGTCTTGACATCGTGACCTCATGTCTTTGTGTCATACAGATTACATTTTTATTATTTACTGTCATTCTTTGCCCTTCCTGTGACATGATACTTGTCAAACCCAAGCATATCAATGTCCATGTTTTGCTGTAACATTCAAAGTGGAAGCTCTAACTAGTAGTCTCATTAGCACTGATCTCCGAAGTGTATGTTAGTGCTGCTGTACTGTGAAAAACTCTGGCCATCCATGTCCAGTGAGATGAATGAAGGGTTTGTAGTGGCCTTATGCCAGCCTTTTTGACAGTAGCTGACAGTCTGAAAGGGTGAATGATGGCTACTCATGAAGAAGAATGGCAGTTTTACAGTCCACCAGATGCTCTCACTTTTTTTCTATTCTCCTATCTATTTTTGTGTGTCCAATATGTGTCTGTCTATGGGTGTGCACTGCCTAAGGCTTGTGTGTATTTTATTTATCGTTATAGAATGGTGACTGGTCTGGAAAACCAAGGGAAAACACATCAGGCAAAACATTTCCATCATGTCCCACTAACACATCTGTAACTCCAGAAGTAACTCTTGATAGATGTTTTTTTCTTTGTTGACACCAGTGTGTGTTGGTGTCAGTTATTTTAATATGACATGGCGTCAGACAGGCACTGAACTGTGCAGAAATTGGGAAACACATTTACAATATGAATAGGAAGGTTCTCTGCACTCCAAGACTCAACATTTTTTGCTATGAACATCACTATTTATTAATATTGCATATGTGCAGAAAGCATGAATGTCCCCAGAGCTCAGTTTAGTCTGGAGTAATCCACCATGACATGCGTGGTAAATCTCTACAGGATTGTCAAATAGGGAGGTTTGCTTGTCTAATACCATGACAAGACACTTTCAAAAATGACTGCAAAAACAAAAAATACAGTTGCGCCTACACAAATAGACTTAATGATTATCAATTTTAGCTAACTTATCCTGCTTTACTCGGAGAGGATCTACTGAATAATTTTAATAAGACTTGCTACAGCCTTTAAAATACCTGCACACATTTGAAGTATCCTTTCTCTAAAGTGACTTTAATGTATCATAAATATAATCAGCAGTCGTGTTATGAGAGAAGGATTCCAGCGACCCGATATCGTCGCTGATTTTAGTGACGTTTCATTGCGTAAACTTTTTTTTTTTTTTTTTTTTTGCCTTGTGCTGCAACCACAGCTACTGTAACGATAAATCAGCAGTCCACAACAATCATCCTCCTCCTTGCAGAGATACAAGAACTTTGCAAGTGCATCCCAGTCGTCTTCGTGAGCTGTGGCTTGGTTTGCCGCTCACAACACGGGCTTGTGTTGCCCGCTGGAGGCGAGGCGGGGGAAGGCACGCAAGTGGATGAGAAAAATGAAGCTTTCTGTGCTTCTCTGTCTCTCTCCCCCGCCTGCTGTAGATAGTCGTGGCCACCCTCTGCGTCTCCACAGCAGTGAGAGGAGGTATTGGCAGGGTGAGGGGCTGCCAACTCCACAATTTGCTCTCGCAACTAACGCCGAATAAATATGCTCAGTGAAAGAACTGAGTATCATTGTGATTATAATTAGACAAGCCTCATAAGGAGAGAGAGAGAGAGAGAGAGAGAGAGAGTGTCCTGACTGTCATCCACAGGTTTCGTAGTTTCACCCAGCCCGCACGGCTCTCGCTCCCAGACTCTCACTCATTTATTTATTTATTTATCTATTTATCCGTGACGCGCGTCCCCGCCGCGAAAGCCCGAGCGCTCCCCACTCTCTCCTCTCTTCCCTTCCTCTTCTCCTCTCGGCAGCATCCAGAACCATAGAGCAGCCGTCCCCATCACTCGCTCTCCTCCCCTCCTCCTCTTTCTCTCGCCGCCAGATCGCTCTCTCTCTTTCTGCGTCTCTCACCCCTCACCCCCATCCACCTCCCCAGCTCTGTCCCTCATTTCTCTGACGCACGACAGGGAAACATACCCGAGGAAAAAAAGAAAGGGAAAGAAAAAAAGATAGCAGCTGACCCAGCCACAGTCGATATGATCCACAGATTCCTTCTACTGCTGAGCCGGAAAGAAACGCGGTCCTGAAACCGAGAGGAAAATACTTGCACCCAGCTATACCGTTGTTGAGCGCGCACCCGGGGGGCGGCTGTGGAGAAGGAGGGAGGGGGGAAAGGGGTGGAAGGGGAAGTGGACGGACACAAGCCGAGGACTTGCATTTTAAGCAAACTGCTTTGAGAGGGAAAAAATGTAGAGGAGAAAGAAGGGGAGAGAGTCAGAGTAACCGGAGAGTGAGAGTGGCAGAGATCGCATTCCTATCACGTCTTCATTTCTTCTCTCTTTTGCCTCAGCCACTGAGAGATCGAGAGAGAAGAAGAAGAAGAAGAAGAGAGGGCGAGAGATAGAGAGAGGGGGAAAAGGAGAGGAGGGGAGAAGGAGATCTAACAAGATTCAAACTAGTGGTCTTTCCCCGATGCTTTGCAATTGGTGAGTGGTTATAGGCTGTTTCCATGTGCATGTGCATCATATGGGGAGCCTTACGCAGATGTGTGCATGAATGTGTGTGTGTTGCCGTGCTTATCGGTGTCTGCATAGCCACAGACTTCAAAATGGGACAACAAGCGTTCTCCATATATCGAGGATAACGGATCACCGGCATCTAGTTAACTGATCAGTGACCGTTCGTTCTTTATTCGGAAATTTCCTGCCAATGTCACGACGAAAGCCTACTGCATTATGCTTGGCATGTATTTCAATAAGCGCTCTGCTCTCTGCTCTGTCTTGACAGCAACGGTTTCGTGTGTGTGTGTGTGTGTGCACGCGCGAAGAGGGCATATTCTCTATTTTTTTCGGACTGTAAGTTGTGCAGTATAATAATTTCACCATAACTTAGTATGATTTAAATTCAAGTTTAATCCTTTTCCAGGTTGTACTGGAATTACCACGCAAGATAAGCAGTACTTTTAACTCATCCCCGGCTCATTCACATGCGCATCTCTTCCTCTTTCCACCCTCAATGCCCTCCTCTCTCTCTCTCTCTTTCTGTTTCCTCCTGTTCCTTTCTTACGCCTCGGTCACCCCCCCCATTTCTCTTTCTCGTCCTCACAGCCGGACATCGGACGCTAAGCGGGACGCACCGGGCAACAACAGGACACACTGCAGGAGGATATGTGAAGTTGGAATCCTACTAAACTAAGTACGTATGTTAAACGATCTGATACACCCAAGGGAATATAAAACGGCGTTTAGTATATATACATATTTTTTTAATTTTTTTTTAATTTTTTTTCTTCTTTTTTTTGGCATCGCATCGGCGCTTTTTTGATCCCCACTACGGAAGTTGAAACGATAAATCGTGGAGGATTATGCACAGAGTTGGGAATGAAAACAGTGAATTTTTCAACGAGGAAATTGCATGAAGGATTTTTTTCCCTACTTTTTTCCCGTCACATCATTTTTGGGGATTACAAAACATGTTTTCCGTCTTTTTTTTCTTTCGTTTTTTTACCCTTGTCGCTGGGCTTTTGATTTCAGCACCACGGACAGCGTCTTCACTCCCACAGACAGTCGTAGGGCATCTCCCTGGATTTTTTTAATGCCTTCGTTTGAACGGAGAGCGCTGTGCGTGCATGTATGAAAAGTCACAGCCTTAAGACAAGACGTTCTGTGTGTGTGTGTGTGTGTGTGTGTGTGTGTGTGTGTGTGTGTGTGTGTTTGTTCGTAGGGAGAAGGATGGAGATACTTTATCCCTATTACCATAAAGATGTGGAAGAATCTTTGATAAGTTTTTTTTTTTTATTCCCTTTAGATGATTGGCTCTATTATTTTTATATAACAAAACATTTTTTTGTTTTTGCAACTGGACATTTTACAATATATATATACATATATATATATATATATATGATCTTATTAATCATACGACGGTTGGATCCACGAAGATACCGCCTTACATCTTAGCTTCTCGGAGCAGCAGATTCGGCCACTGCGTTATTTCGCTTTACTTTTTCCGATTCACATCCAGTCTTCAAATGTTTTCAGTAGCTGAAAAAAAAGTTCAATTGAGGGCATTTTAGGAAAAAAAAATACAGGTTTAACTAAGCAGGATAAGACACTAATGTTTCAGTTATACAGGGAATTAACCCCAGGCAAAGGGCTGTAATTTCTCGTTTTCTGCAGATCGGATTAACTAAACAATTTTACCTATTTCAACACGTTATTGACGTTTTTACATTTGACAGTTCAGGCCTAGCGTGAAGCTGTAGTGGCGTTGTTTACGTATTTTTCAGGCGTATATATTTCTTCTGTCACATTTGCTTGAGCCATAATAGTGATAATGATAGTGAGTGATTTAATTGTGGTGATATTTAATTTTAAGGAGACTGAAAATAAGAAAGCGTCACAATAATCCGTATTTAGCCCCACTGTGGATACCAAGCGGGCACCGTATCCCGTCCTCTTCCTGCGTTAGACCTTCAAAGCACCTGCTCCCATTTCCACCAAGCTTTTCTGGGCTCTAGTTTATTGAAAGAGGGATTGATGTCCCTGTTATGCAATAAATACTGCGAAGGGGCAGCTTATACTCACCAGTAACCTCACCCTGCTGTGGTTACCTTCTTTATTCAATGTGATAAAAAAATATCTCAGGTGATTTACTGGGTGCTTACCAGCATATTTTCTCCATAACAAATGACTTTTTCCCTCCTATTTGGTAAAGTTAAGTGTCTTAATGTAGAGATTTGTTTGTGCAGCATATTAGCCCTACAAAGATGCCTCACACATATTTTTTAAATACTCATCAATATTGCAAAATTGAAAGTAGGGTTCCATGATTTTCTAATTCATTGGTATTATTTTCAAGATTTGCCTTGCATTCTACTGAAACTAATGTGACCTCCTCTTCTCTCCTCTCTTCTCTGTATCCCATCTGCCTGTCTTTTTTGACATTTCTTGGTTGAGGGCATGCGTGTACCTGTATGTGTAATTACGACACCCGCTTCCCTCCCCCACCCCCACCCTTCCTCCGCTCCTTCTCTGTTTTCTGTTGCAGTGTTGTGAAGTGGCTCTGTCCCTGGAGCCAAGACTTCATCCCTTTGGTGTCAGCAAGGATGCTGTGGGTTACCTTGCTGAGCACCATAGCCTTAGGATGGACCACGCCGATCCCACTACTGGAGGACTCAGAGGAGATCGACGAGCCCTGCTTCGAGCCCTGCTACTGTGAGGTCAAAGAGGGCATCTTCCACGTCCACTGTGACAATAAAGGATTTACAAATATCAGCCAGATCTCCCAGATATGGAGCCGGCCCTTCAAGCTCAACCTGCAGAGAAACTCCATGAGGAAGCTTTACTTTAACAGCTTCCTCCACCTTAACAATGCCATATCCATTAATCTGGGCAACAACGCCTTGCAAGATATTCACGCCGGAGCATTCAATGGCTTAGGAATACTCAAACGGCTGTTCCTGCATGAAAACAAACTAGAAGTTTTCCGGAATGACACTTTCCTGGGCTTGGATAGTTTAGAGTATCTCCAGGCAGATTACAATGTTATCAAAAGGATTGAAAGTGGTGCATTCAGACACCTTCACAAATTGAGAGTACTTATATTAAATGACAATCTGATCCCTGTGCTCCCAAATTATCTTTTTAGATCTGTGTCACTCACACATCTGGACTTGAGAGGAAACAGACTAAAGACATTGCCATACAAGGGCACACTGGAGTATATTGGGAGGAGCTTAATGGAAATCCAGCTAGAGGAGAACCCCTGGAACTGTGTCTGTGAAATTGTCCAGTTAAAAACATGGCTGGAGAGAATTCCCTACACAGCTTTAGTGGGTGAAATCACATGTGAATATCCTTTCCACTTACATGGGAAAGACTTAAGGGAAATCAAACGCAGTGAGCTCTGTCCTTTGCTCTCGGATGCAGAGATAGAGGCCAAGCTGGGAATTCCCAGGATTCCATTCAGCAATGAGAACACATGGCCTACTAAACCTTCCTCAATGCTCTCCTCCTTTCACAACACAGCCTCTTCTGTGGAATATAAGGAAAGAGTTGTAAAACCCACCAAACGACCTCGGCCCACAAAGAACCCCCCAACTCCTCGTAGCATCTACCCAGGCATCAACCAGCCCCCAATTGCAGGTTATCAAACAAGGCCTCCTATTCCAATAATTTGCCCCGCTGGATGTATTTGCAATCTTCATATCAATGACCTGGGGCTAACGGTAAACTGTAAAGAGAAAAGCTTTCATAACATCTCAGAGCTTCTTCCACGGCCCCTCAATGCCAAGAAATTGTATCTCAGTGGAAACCTAATACAGAAGATCTATCGTTCTGATTTCTGGAACTTCTCAAGTTTGGATTTACTGCATTTAGGTAACAATCGGATATCTTATGTCCAGGAAGGCGCCTTTATCAACCTACCGAACTTGAAAAGTTTATATTTGAATGGGAATGACATTGAGAGACTCACCCCTGGGATGTTTCGGGGGCTTCATATGTTGAGTTATCTTTACTTTGAGTATAATGTCATTCGTGAAATACAGCCTCATTCCTTTTCCCTGATGCCAAATCTCCAGCTGGTTTTTCTCAATGACAACTTGTTGCGTTCCCTCCCCACTGATGCCTTTGCTGGAACCAACCTTGCACGTCTCAACCTCCGCAACAATTACTTCCTTTCCTTGCCTGTGCATGGTGTACTGGAGCATCTGACCTCAATTGTCCAGATTGATCTCCATCAGAACCCCTGGGACTGCTCCTGTGATATCATTCCCCTCAAACAGTGGTTGGAAAAGCTCTCCTCTGTCATTGTAGTTGGAGATGTCATCTGTAAGACACCAGAGTTTGCTTTTGGGAAGGATCTGCGTTCACTTGAGGTTGAAGTCATCTGTCCCGAGCTTAAATATTCTTCAGGCCCATCCCCAGCTCTGCCTGGTGGGAATGACTTCACCACAGGGAGCTCTGACATGGGGGTGGCAGGTGGGAGAGGTGCTGTCCCACTGTCTGTCCTCATCCTTAGCCTACTAATCCTCTTCATATCTGCTGTGTTTGTGGCCGCTGGGCTTTTTGCTTTTGTTCTTCGTCGCCGGAAAAAGTTGCCCTTCCGGAAACGTTCTGAGGTAGATCTGACAGGGATCCAAATGCAATGCAGAATTTTTGAGGACCCACCAAGGCAAAGCAGTTCCGGGAACACTGGCACACCAGAGAAACCTACGCAGAGTATGCACACACACACCCATGCTAGTCACACACATGCTCATGGCCACGTCTATGATTACATCCCTCATCCTGTGACTCAGATGTGTAACAACCCCATTTATAAACCTAGAGAAGGGGAGATAGCAGAGGAGGAGAGAGCACAGTTTTCTGAGAAGAAAGACAATGGGAGCAGTAGCAACAGTAACTACAGAACCTTATTAGAGAAAGAGAGAGAGTGGACCCTGGCTGTCTCCAACTCTCAGCTCAACACCATTGTTACAGTCAACCACACCACGGCTGACATGGCAGGATTTCATGAGAATGGAGGGCTCTGCCCAACAGTGATTGACAGTCAGAGGCCCACGCCTACTGTTGGTTTTGTAGACTGTTTGTATGGGACAGTACCCAAATTAAAGGACATGCATGTGGCGCATGCACACCCACCAGGCATGCAGTACCCTGATTTGCAGCAGGATGCACGGCTAAAGGAGACGTTGCTTTTCACAGCGGGAAAAGGTTGCTACCCCGACCCGTCCCAAAGTGATTACCTTGAGTTGAGGGCCAAACTTCAAACCAAGCCGGATTACCTCGAAGTCTTGGAAAAGTCTTATCGGTTTTAACATCTCTAGCCCATGGACAAAAAAAAAAGACACAACGTCAACTTATTCACTTTGCCACCCTCAAAACGAACTCACCCAAAATCCATGTTAAAAAAATGAAACAAAACAAGCATAAAAAAACCAACTTGAAAATGCAGCATGATATAAAATAAAATATTATATTACAGTCACAATGTTTCCCCCCCAAATCACTTTGGAGGAGAGGCCATTCTCAGATAATTCAATTAAGTGCCTTTTTTTCAGAGTAGCCAGCAATGTCAACAGCCGTTATTTTTATAATATATAAATATCTCAATAAGTCCACGAGAGAGGAAAAGAGAAACAACAGGGGCACTGGGGAATAAAACATACAAACCATCCTACATCTGTCACTAAAATCCATTTTTATGGAATTACATGATGCTGTACCAGATTCACTGAAGACGCACGGGAGCTGGACGTCTCCCTGATTTTGGGGTTTTTCTTTCTCTCTTTTACCCCTGACTAGGATGTACAAACACCCGGAGGCCGTGCACATTAAGTTTGTAGGAAATGATCAAAAGAGAGAAAAAAAGAATATATATACATATATATATTAAAATGAACTGCAGTTTGCTGCATGCACTTGCTTCGGTGCAGGAAGTGAGAGGATTTTCTCAGAACTATCCAATGACATTATGAACAGAGATACTGCAACGCATTTACAGTTCAGTGTTCTATTTAATTTTTATATCTTATTAATATGGTTATTACTATTAATGAGGACTTCTGTCTATATCAGGGTGCTTCTCGTAAAAAGGATGCGCCGACGCACGGATGGCAAAAACATTTGTGAATATTACTATAAGACAATGCCGAAGGTTTTCTGGATATTTCCACACACTTTGTTAAGACCCACCCCTTCTCCCCCTTCTCCCCAACCCCCCACCCCACCCCTCCATTACTTCTGGATTCCCCATCGCCACCCACTAACGGCTTTGTAGGAGGCACTTTTAATGTTTTCTCTCTCACAAAGATTTGAAGAAAAATGTGCATATATTTATTCTGTAATTTCAGTGAAGAATTTAATTGTAAAGGTAATGTTAAATCAGTGTATAGTGATTATGCGTCTGGTATAGCCTTCTTAATAAAAACAAACTCTTCAATCAAATGATGAAAGGCTGAATTGGGCAGGGACGTGTGTGTGGAGCACTACTGACAGGGACTATATTTGGTGTCCTGTTACAAAAATGCATGATGAAGCTCTGGTCAGCCATCATGAGAAAATGCTGCTAGAGTCAGAATAACAGTGTGCTAGACAGGAATGTAGCGGGAAAAAACATTTAAACTAAGTTCAGCTTAGTGATATTTTTCAGATTAGTACTAAATTTATATACGTTTTAAGTTAAGTGTTGGTAAGAGAACCAGATTTATTTATTTTTCCTAAAATTTTTTATGTCTATTCATAGTATGCCCTATGGTCTTTACCTGCTGAATGTCTTAGTGTACCGTTTTTTTCGCCTCTACATTGCTGGTCTCAGTTGGATAATACCTGGAGCAAAAATCAAGTGCAATGCCACAACACGTCACGTGAATGCTGCGGGGTTTGAAGTGGATATAGCAGTTGATACCAAATCAGTGAGGCATGCTGCGATTGTCATTATCTAAACGGGTATTGCTGATGTAGGCTAATAAACAGTAATTGAGAGGGTGAATGAAAATGTGATTGGAAGATGCTCTTTGAATTTGCACATCTAATTTCTGTGACTCCCTCCACAGTAGCAGTGTGGATTCGCTCCACTGGAGGGCGATAAAAAAGTGTTCAGATTCAGTTGGGCATTTATTAGATTTGATGCAGTTATAAGGTGATGCACAAATTGTTCATCCTAAAAGGTCATACAATCTCATATTCAGATGAATGGTCATATGAATTATTTTTAAAGTATATATATATATATATATATATAAAACAAAGAAATGTGAATAAAATGCAGTGACATAAATTTGATTAACTTCAGTTTCATAACCGCTTAATTTTTTTCACATTTGTTGCCCTTTTGTTCCACAAACTTGTGCGTGTGTGTGCACATGCACATGCACATATACATATATATTTATTTGTTGTTGACAACTAATAAATGGTTCAAGGTAAATTAACCCCCATTATTCTCCTCCACAGGACTCAACGTTTAATGTTTTGTAATAATTCAAATGTCCATGTTTAAGCCTCATTCATTTCTGGGCCCATGGTAGACAAAAAAGAAAAATTAAGAAATATATGGTGGAACCTGCTACATTTGGGTGAAGATGCTATAGAACAGATGCTGTCATAGGATCTTGTGAAATTCTAATTATTAAAAGAAGATGTTCTGTGTTTTTGATACATTTGTGATCATCTATGGAAGGAAGCCGTGTTTACGTTGTTTTTGAAAATGGGGATGATATGTACTGGGTTTTGTAGGAATGATGAGAGTTTGTTCATATGTGTCAGCCTACACTAAGTGAAAGAAAAGTAGCACACCTGATATTTTCCTGTTAAATAAGAATGCCCTTAGCTAGTCAAACAGTCATCTCCAATATCAGTGATCTGGTCTATAAACTCGCATAGTATGTAACATTTTACATTGTGTTGTATTCATTGTTTATTTTTGAATTATTATTGCTCAAATTTGTAGAAGTCACACTCACATAAAGCCTATAGACGCATGGTTGCATAAAGTCAAGGGTCTTTGTTTTCTGCTTCAGAAAGCTTTTCACTGCTCCGTGATGAAATTTGCTCCTGTTTTAAATTGTATCACTTACACACATATGCAGATACATTTATGCACAAATGCAACTACACACACACACACACACACACACACACACACACACGTATATAAATGCATAGCAACACACATAAAAGCTTCCTTTATCTGACTGACCCTAAGGTCAAAATATATGATCAGCATTTTTAGTGTGCACTCAATTTGATTAAAAATATAATGCATTACATTGTCGACTCCCAAGTCACACCATCACTTCTTTTTTAATGATTCATAAAAAAAAATGGGATCACTGATAATTTGCTTTACCCCAGTATCTTGGCTACCTTTTATCCTAACCCACCCACCATAGTATTTCACAAATGAGTGCTGGGCTTTGTCCCATTATCTCATGCTGAGTGGTTTTATCCCAATAAATCCTCTTGTTATCCTGCGCTAATATCTCCAAGTGATTTCATACATTAGTGGAATGCTAGATAAAGGCGACCAATAGGAGAACAGGATTGATGCATGTTTCTTTTCCATGTGGAAAATTGCTTTTACCTATTGATGTTGAAATTGGCATTTGAGTTAACCTATTCCTTCTCTCAAGGTTTCTACACCGGCAAGGCTAATGTGGGGTTTTTTGGTGCTTTTTTGGTTTGTTCTTTGCTTTCACTGTGTTACCGTATCTCTGTTTTATGGATTCTTTTCTCTACTTGTGTTTTACTGCCTGCCTAAATGCTTCATTGTGATGGGCTTTGGCTCCATTGGGTATTGGGATCACTGAAAATTCTGAAGACTTCCATCTAATTATTTAAACAAATTCGAAATCATATTGAAGGAGAAGATCTGTGCTTATATTGCAAGAGCTTTTGTTTGTTTCCACCTTAATTTTATCAGGCTATTGATGAAAACTGATTGGTAGTTTACTGGTAATTTTAGACTGACTGCCTTTTTTCATCATGCAGTTATGACAAAAATGTATGAAGTATAATATAATATCGGCAAATGCAAGCAAACTAACACAAATAACAGATAATTCTATTTTAATTGACTGATTTAAACCTTGACCATGGCCGTGCTGTTTTTTGTATGAACTCATTTAAGCTATACCATAAGTTTATTAGATAAGCTTTTGTGGGCTCTCCAAACTACTGAGTTTATTCCAAGCATTTGATGTAAATGTAAGTGGAAAATCTTTATGTTGTATGGAATCAGTAACCCAAAAGTGACTGTGACATGCAGACTTTTATTTTATCTCAAATGGTGTTAAGTATGGTGTTATAGGTGGTATAGTTTGCCAGAGGAGAAGGCAAAAGACATAATGATAGGATGATGGAAGATAGATAGAAAGACACACGGTCAGCCTTGAAGAGCCTGAAATGAAAGAGTATAAAGTACAGAGACAGCGTGTTAGGAAGCAAGGGTTGTGACCATGTATATTTTGCATTTGTGTGTGTGTGTGTGTGTGTGTGTGTGTGTGTGTGTGTGTGTGTGTAATGCGTGATATGCTTTCTTCATTTGGGAAACAGAGAATTATCTCCAGTTTGCTGAAAAAGCCAATCTGTCTCTGACCATGGTGCTGAAGTTGCAGTCTATTGCAGGTGCTGCATACAAAGGCACGTTCTACTTTTTATGCATATGTGTGTTGGTGTGTGGTGGGAGACTTGGGTAACGCTCTCTCTAGCCTTTCTATATTTATTTTGTTTCTCAGAGCTTATCTAAGTTTTCTGTGATAATGCTGATGACTCAACTAACTTTGTGGTGTCATGAAAGTGCTAAATTTAAATCTGCTGTAGGTTTGGCCATAGCACTAGCATCTGTGAACAGAAAGACTTTTCTTTTACATGATATAAGCACATTTCATTCAATAGTGATGAGCTTAAGTGATTTAAAATAAATCTGTTCTGTGTAGGAATAGAACCTTTAAATATTTATGCCCTCATTTAGAGCTTTGATGTCTGTAACGAAGCATGTTCTCTAATATATGAGCCCAAAATCTCCCATAAGCGTTCAAATGGGTGGAGCTCTGGTGATTGCAAAGCAAGTAGCATATCATTTTCATACTCACTGATGACCTCTTGTGCCTTGTGGATGTGGACGTTATTGTCCTAGAAGACTACATTTTCATCTGCATAGAAACATTTCATCACAACAACTTTGTGATGATTTTCAGTGACTCTGTAAATTAATATAAGCATTAATATAAGGTTTAAGATTGTCCTTTTTCATAAACAGAGAATTTAAAAGCATAATGAAAAGGCATCCCCCCCCCCCCCCAAAAAAAAAAAAAAAAAAAAATGCTATAGTTTGCTTACTACTG